ACATTTTTACTATGTACTCAATTCCAGCCACCGTTTAGAATCACCAAGTCCTAGCATTCAGAAAGGGTCTGAACTCATTCTCATTCATCTCCCCTCAAGAGCAGAAATGATGAATCCAGGCCTGTGCAAATGAGGACTGTCCTCAGGATTAGGAATGGAAACTGGTTGCTACACTGTACACATTGGCACCCTGAAGTGTCTTTTGCTCTTGCTGTTTACACAAAACAAGCCCCTGGAATACACGAGTGTGCAAATAGGAACATGAAGAGTGTAGGAGGGACTTGGAACCTGTGCTGAGCGAAATTTACTCTCCTTTCCAAGGACGGGCTCTGGAGGGCAAGTCCTGGTGCAGCACAATGCTGGGCTCAGACTCTGGGTTCTGATTGCTGCCTGCCTGCCAGAGGAGCCCTCCTTCCTTTTTTCGTAACCAGAATGTGCAACTCAGTAACAGTGTTTTAGCAACGTTGGATGGTTTTTTTTTGTTCACAGTTTCCCCATTAATTTAAGAGGAAAGGCATTGGTGGATCCCTCATATTTGAAATGTAAAACAAAACCACACTTAAGGCAGTCCTTTTGAGGAAGTACATCTCTAAACATTAGTAATCCGTACAAGATGCAGTGTTGCAGTGCTTAATTTGCTGATGTTATATCTCAGATGTTCAATTTTATGATTTACTGTTCTTACCACTGCAGTCCAGTAGGCTGGGGCCTGGTTTACAATGAAGATGTTGTGGGTGGTGTAACAGAAAATTGGACAATATTCAGCTCTAACAGTATATAACAATTGAACTGTGCATGTGCCGATTTCGTTTCTAACTTTAGGATTCCAACATCACTGTTAACATATTAACATCAATTTACTTGAAGACAAGGCTTACGGTGTGGTTATATTCAGCTTTATCTCCCATAGATGCATCAGTTGCTAATCTGAAATGAGGAGATCAATTTATATCAGAATCAACTAACAGTGAAGTCTTTGGAACAGGGTTTCATCAGAAATCAGAGACTACAGGTGACACAGAGCCAGCTGTCTCAGGGTAGAAATAAAAGAGTCTGTGCTAGGTTAAGCTTTGCATATTACCTCCATCTAATTGGAACTGAAGGTCTGTGGGTGGCATAAGCAATTTGCTAACTTAGCGGTTTAAATCCACCTCATGGTTCTGTGAAAGAAAAGGCCTGGAAAACTGGTTCTGTAAAGAGTGTGGTTGTGGTGTGCTATTGAGGCAGAATCGACCCACTCCAGTGGGTTTTCAAAAGTTATTCATCTCATGGGAAGAGATTGCCCATCCTTCTCTTGCAGAGAAACTGGTGGTTCCAAACCATGTGCCTTTGGCATTGCAGTGCAATTTCTTACCACTAGGCCACCAGAGCTCCCCTTCTGGAAAGAGTACAGCCAGGAGAATCATAAGAAGCTCTCTTACTTTGTAACACATGGGCTCCTGGTGAGTAGGAATGAACTTAATAGCCAAACATTTGCTTTTTGTTTTCACTGGAAATGCAGCAATTAAGACAGTAAATTATGGATGGCTTCTCTATACAACAGTTACCCAGAGGACAAGGCACGGTGCTTATTAGTTTTCTAACCAGCACTGGCTGCTTTCCAGGCACCTTCCTGCTCCCCGTGTTCCACCACTGGATCTGACCATCCGTATCTAGGAGTCAGCCACTGCCCCTGCATGAGATGATGATAAGATGACTTGCTATTCATTTCTTTCTATTTCCCAACCACATTGCATATGCATTTTTATGGCAGTGAACCAAATGGAACTTCTGAAAAGCATGAGGATATAAACATAAACAAATATAGAGGCAACTGTATCTATTAAAAACATCAACACTATATTGTTTTAGGAATATCAGATACTTTATAAATATTTAATGCTCAGTTCTGTGCATGCCATAGTTACTAAAACAATACATTTATTATAAGCTACACCACAGACTTGATTGAGGAAGAATCCATAAGAGAGGATCTCTACTCCAGCAGAACTCCTAATACCTATCTATTTTGGTGAAAGAAAGGAAATGAAGAAGGAAGGGAGGAACCTACAACCAGGAGAAGATAACGTAGATGAATGGGATCTTCTAAGACTCAAATCCCTATGCACATCCAAAAACTTCTCCAACAGGGTAAAAAGGGAGGCCACTGACTG